ATCTATAATAACAAATTCAACATGTTAGCATTATTTAAGTATATAGCCTATACATCTTTATATGTGTTGCCACAATAGTTCAACGTACTTAATCATCACAGAACGATGTATAATTTTTGTTAGGCTAGAGTCCTAGAGTGTCGATACGTCTGATTGTGAGTCAGGTGTTTCAACCTGAACCTCGGCCGCGGGATCATGGTGACAGCGAGGAAGAGGAACGGTCACTCGTCGCCAGAAGAGAATTTCAAATCGGATCTAATAGAAAGGAAGCGACGAACGAACGAAATAAGAGAGCGCTCCGTAGGGATGCCACGCGGCTTATCCCCGACTGGGTCCCCTTTTCATCTCCATGGATGCGGACCATCAGTGATTCTCAACCTTGACAGCCGGTTCCTGTAATTGCGTGGAAATCCGGTAGGACGATTCTGTTCCGGCCGGTGATCACAAAGAGAAAGAGGCCGGGCAAACGCAGCCCGGAGCTAGCTGGAGTTGATCCGATCGATTCATTAACAGGATAGTCTATTATTCCTCAACCAACAGTTTTTGAGACGCACAGTACGTCGTCGTGGAACAAAAAGAAAAAAGATCAATGTCCCAAGAGATGCGTTCACTCTACTTCGATCTAGATTTTTATTATTAATAAATCCAAGTGGAGATTTAGAGTCCGTATAGGCAAACATTTTCAGCTCGCGTGTATTCGCGAATGTCTGGGAAAAGCGATCGAGGCGATAACACCTCGTGATTATTTCTCTGTCGCCGTCTGCACATTTTCCTTAATATTCGCGTATTTTCACCGACCCCGAGCGAAATTGTCGATTTCGTCGTCGACGGTCTGTGGGCGGTTCGATTAAGGTCCGGCAGGAAACCGGCCGAAATTGAATAGCGGTGGAGGACCGAGCTAACTAGACTGATAAAGCCGTACGTGATTGTCGTTTTCGTCACGGCCACGACTTCGTCTGAATTCAGATATAGTGGCCAATAAGCCACGCCGACCGAAATTGCATGAAAATGCATGTTAATTAAGAACCTTTGCGCTATACAATGGCATTTTAGAACGAAATTCTAATAGTAGACTATAATAACGGTGCGATAAAGCATAATA